ACATTATTGACAGACGACAGTTATCGATGTTGCTCATGTGTAGGAGCGTTGCATGCTCCTATCTCTTTTCGTGTTGCCAACGAATTTTGTAAGGGTTAATTAGTGTTTTTCATGTGTTTGTAGCACTCCTCAACGATTAGAATGACATAGCACACGCTTCAGAAAGCTCTGACAGACGTTCGTACAGGTCTGAGCACTTGTACGACGCTGTCACATCCCTCTGGATTGTGTACCATATGGTTCGATCTAGACTGAAGATAAACAGAAACATGGGACTGGAAAAATAAATTCATGAGGGAATAGACAAAAGTAGAGTAATATCTATCATTTAACGAAAGCACAACGCATCATTAGTATTTGGAAATTTAGATAATATTTTCGTTCACTGAAAAACCTTTCCAATATTAACGGTGATAGAAAGTTATTAATCAACGTACGAAACAGTCCTAAAACATTGATAGGATATTAACAATAATAGAAAAATAATTCTATACAGCATGCAGCCACAAAAAAATATGATGCTAATGAGAAATTTCTCCGAGCCATACTTCCCTGGATTACTTGATGGTATCAAATGCACTTGATCAGAACTATTGGCTATACATCATCATGCAGTACCTCACCATAGACTTCGGACACTTTCATAAGAGAAAACAATGACGGAGTAGATAACTGATGAATATAAGGCGTTTACACAGTTACTTGAAAAATCATAATGATGAAATCCTAGGATCAGTGCTTTCAATAATTACTTGCTTTACATATGATCTAATTATTTCGTCTTAATTGGTCATTGGATAATAAACTGCAATAGCAAAAATAAGTAAATCGAAAAAAATCATATGCAATCAACCATCCCGTCAACTCTCAGTCAAAGTTTGCTCGAGAAGTACGAAAAAAAAAATTTCACAAGTATACATATCCATATTTTACCATAAGGCAAATAAAATTAAACAAAACGCAAAGTAAACTGTAATTCGTCACCATAATGCTTTCACAGTGTATGATTGCATTGTATTACTTTGTACAAACAAGTAATTGCATAGCAATCAGAAATTTATGACGCTAAACTATTGTGCACTCGCTTACATAAAAAAAAGTGCACTCAACGCACCATCCAATCAATATACATTTTCACATAACAAAACACTCAAGAAAAAAAACATTTTCATCCATGTCGACCAAAAGTATTCAAACTCTTGTTACACTACCAGTAGAAATCGTCTACCGAGTTTTCGATTTTCTTGACGATTTCAATATTTTATGCTCGATACAAAACGTTTGCAAACGTATGAATGCAGTTGTCAATACCTACTGTCGATATCAGGTAAAAAATAAATATATCTATAAAAATTGACTTTCATCATCATTAAAACATTATTCATTTATCTAAGATATCAATCTATATATCGTCACCATAGAGTATTTTCCCAAGGCTGATCGCCCAGTACTAATTCGAATCGATAGATAAAAATTACATTTCAAAGATCATCATTGAAATCAAACTAATGAAAAGACTGCTTAGATCAATCCTTTCCACGAGCAATGTCTTTAAAACAATATTGCATTACCGATGCACAGCTACTTATGAACAGTTCTTCCCATTGTTCACCAGCTAAAACAAAACCCACAATTCTCACCATATTTAATAAACAAACGAAGCAGTCAAAACCGTGTAGTGAACGTAACAGTATAAATAGTTCTCACCATTGATGAGAAATTTCTGTTTTTCTACACTAATAATTTCCGAGCATAGGGTCTTATTATTTCAACAATTTTCTGTCAATGCTGCACTTCGACAGTTTTCCCAAAGCTCCGAAATTGCCTCATGTATTCCACAAAAGTTTCAACGTAATCTACATGCCCTCCAATAATTCATATACACCCTGACATTTTCGACTACTTCTTCTCTAAAAAAAAGGGTGCATTTCGCTCTCAATTAACGAAAACAAACATCCAATCGAAGCAAAAGTTAGTTGATACAGGTCCATTCCGATATCCCTTTGCAAACTCTTCCTCACACAGACACTCGCCACGCTGCACTTCAGTGGCAATCAAATTGACGATAGAAGAACAAAACGTCTTGCTGAAGCTCTCGAACAAAATCAAGTAATATATCCATCTTCTATAATTATCATTAACCAGCTGCTCAAAACAGACACTCACAACATTGGATCTCAGTTGCAATCAGATCAGTGATCAAGGAGCTCAATATTTTGGCAAAGTTTTCGAACTAAATCAAGTAACGTCGTCATCTTCTCTATTCATCTTGCATTGTCTCTTTCAAATTAGACACTCACTACACTAAACCTCAGCGGTAATCGAATCCATCATCAAGGTGCACAGCATCTTGCCAAAGCACTGGAACAAAACCAAGTAATATCCTTACCTTCTCTATATCTTATTCACTGACTACTTATAATAGATACTCATCACACTTGACCTCAGTCACAACGCAGTGGGTTATCAAGGAACACGACATTTTGGCAAAGCTCTTCAACAGAACCAAGTAATATCTTCATCTTCTTTACCCTTCATCCATCTTGCATTCATAACAGACACTAATCACACTGAACCTCAGTTACAATGCAGTCGGTGATCAAGGAGCACAATATCTTGCCGATGCTCTTCAACAAAATCGAGTAATAACTTTATCTTCTCTCTTTATCACTCACTACCTGTTCAAAACAGACATTAACGACACTGGATGTCAGTGGCAATCAAATTAGCGACCAAGGTGCTCAATATTTTGGCAAAGCTCTCGAACTAAATCAAGTAATTTCTTCATCTTCTCTATTTATCTGGCACTGTCTGCTTAAAATAGACACTCATCACACTAAACCTAAGTGGAAATGAAATCAGTCATCATGGAGCACAATATTTTGGCAAAGCTCTCGAACAAAATAAAGTAATATCCTCACATGCTCTATCTATCATACACTGCCTGTTCAAAACAGACATTCGCCAAACTTGATCTCAGTTTCAATTTAGTCGGTTATGAAGGAGCACAGCTTGTTGGCAAAGCTCTCCAACAGAATCAAGTAATATCTTTACCTTCTCTATCATTCATTAACCGTGGTTCAAAATAGACACTGATCATACTGAACCTCAGTTACAATGTAATCGGTGATAAAGGAGCACAATATCTTGCTGATGCGCTTGAAAAAAATCGAGTAATATCCACACTTTCTCTATTTATCACTCACTACCTGTTCAAAAACAGACATTAACAACACTACACATCAGTGGAAATCAGATCAGTGATCAAGGCGCACAGCATATTGGCAAAGCTCTTGAACTAAATCAAGTAATATTCTCACCAACTCTATTTATCTTGCATTATTTGTTCAAAACAGACACTCACAACACTTGACCTCAATTACAATGCAGTCAGTGATCAAGGAGCAGAACATCTTGCCAATGCTCTCGAACAAAATCAAGTAATATCCGCACCTTCTCTATTCATCATTTACCGCTTGCTCAAAACAGACACTCACCATACTTGATCTCAGTTACAATGCAGTTCGTTTTCAAGGAGCACGCCATCTCGCCAAAGCTCTCGAGCAAAATCAAGTAATATCCTCATCTTCTTAATTTATTATTCACTGCTTGTTTAAAACAGGCACTAAAAGCATTACATATCGGTCGTAATCAAATCGGTGACGAAGGAGCACAATATTTTGGCAAAGCTCTCGAAAAAAACCAAGTAATATCTTTACTTTCTTTGTTTATCTTGCATTGCTCATTTAAAACAGATATTAACGACACTCGACCTCAGTTTCAATGGAGTCGGTGATCAAAAGGCACAGAATCTTGCCACTGCTCTCGAACAAAATCGAGTAATATTCTTATCTTCTCTATCTATTGTTTACTGTCTATTCAAAACAGAAGCTCACTACACTCGATCTCAGTTACAATGCAGTCGGTGATCAAGGAGCATATTATCTTGCTAAAGCTCTCGAGCAAAATCAAGTAATATCCTCATTTTCTGTATGTATCAATCACTGCCAGTTTAAACAGACAGTGCCAGATAAATAGAGAAGATGAAGAAATTACTTGATTTAGTTCGAGAGCTTTGCCAAAATATTGAGCACCTTGGTCGCTAATTTGATTGCCACTGACATCCAGTGTCGTTAATGTCTGTTTTGNTGAAGTATGTATTGTTTTCATGTTATTATCATGAATTATTGTATCCAATTTTTTCACAATTTGATTGTCTTTGCAGTGCTGTTGGTGAAAGAGAAAAGTTGTGTTAATCTGTACCATTTATTATAGGATGATCCTATATTTCCATGATTACAATGTCCATGAGCGTGTTCAACAAGGGGGAAACAGCTGATTATTGATTAGGTTTGATTAAGAGTGATTAGAAGTGATTAGAAGGGATTAGGAGTGATTAATAATCAAGCCTAATCAAGCCTATAGATTTGATTAGGCTTGATTAGGCTTGATTAGGCTTGATTAGTAATCACTCCTAATCATTCCTAATCACTTCTAATCACTCTTAATCAAACCTAATCAATAATCAGCGGTTTCCCCCTTGGTGTTCAAGCATTCATTCAAGCTGTCCATGAAGAGGTTCGTTTTTACTAATGAATGGTAAAAAGAAAGAATGGAACTTATCAATCTGATAAAATCATATGTATAAACAAATCGTTGATTTCTGAGCGACAGAAAACACGCTTCCATATATCTGACACAGAATCTTATTTAACGTAACAGGATCTGATTTTTAGAAGGTGAGTGAAATATTCAACAATCTTTAATATTCATGGAAATAATAATGATATATGAATAGCTTTGTTAAATCTTAAAATTTCGTTTTAATCAAATATGAATTCAAAATATATCATAATTTGTAGATCTTTTGAAATAATTTATGCCTTTTTTTTGTTGTTTAATGATTTAAAAAATGTCGTAACACTTTAATTAGGAACAAACAATAACAAGCATCTTCTTTTCTATAGGTACAAGGTTATGCTACTAATCATATAATTTTTATGACTTTCGGTGGCGATTTTCATTACGAAATTGCACCTGAAGCTTTTAAAAATATAGACAAATTTATTAAATATGTTAATGCTGAGGTACATATATTTGTTTTAAGCTTTCTTCCAAATAAGCTATGCTTTTGATTTTAATAAATATAAATAGCAAGCCATGAATGGTAGCAATGTTAACATTTTCTATTCAACACCATCATGCTATTTATATGCTTTGAATAAAGTTGATCGTGTTTGGACTACGAAAACGGATGATTTTTTCCGTATGCTCGTTATTCTCATGGATATTGGACAGGTTATTTTACTTTACGAGCAGCTTTGAAACGTTATGAACGTCATTCAAATAATATTTTACAAGCTGCAAGACAACTCAATGCATTTGCTAATCTAAATCAACGAAATAATATTTTCATTTTAAGTAAAATATATTTTATTTTTATATTTATACTGAAATAATTTGCCTGTTATGAAATATAGGTGAAACCATGGGTATTGTTCAACATCATGATGCTATTACTGGTACAGAAAGAGAAGAAGTTGCTTTTGATTATGCTCAACGATTATCTGATGGCATTGCTGTAGCCGAAGTATGTTGAAATAATAAGTTTTATAGAATTACTGTATATTTTTGGACAAAAATAGTGAGTATAAATTAAAGTTGAAGTTTTTTCAGCTTTCTCTCTGTGTCCTTGAAATCGGGCGAGGGAGAAAGAAAGTTCAAGATTATTCGGTATGTTTTCATAGCGATGAGAAAAGACGCGTCAATTATAATAGTAACTAGATCTGGAAAATCATTCTAAGAATTTGAGATTTCTACTGTAAATTCTAACTAGTCTAAATATTGAGGATTCTTGTATGTAATACAATGAAATATGATGAGTGAATCTACGAAATGAAGAATAAAATTACATGTGCCAATTCGTAAAACATCTATGATATATATTATATTTAGACGAAAATAAGTTAGGTTATGAACATGTATGTGACAACACAAATAAGTCTTTTTTGGTATAGTGATATTAAATGATATCTAATAAATTCATCGAATAATAGTTCTTAATACAAATATTTTCGAAATGACAAAATTTTTAACCATACGCACCAGATATAAAAAGTGTATTATTCTTGATTTATTCATTTATGTGGCATTCTGTCTAAATAAGTAAGCTTGACCTAAAACAACATTTTGTACTGAAAAAAAAATTCTATTTCTAAAGTTTCGAACATCTTTTTCTTGTATAAATTATAATATGCTTCAAAGTGTATTCCACCAGCATCAAATCAATTTCTCTGTCAATTATCTAACATTAGTCAATGTTTAGAAATCGATGGACAAGAACGCGTAAAGATATAATCATCTTATTTGCTTTTATTCTTTGTTTCTTTGAATAGTTTACGTTGACACTTTGGAATCCAACGATTCATCCAGTTGTTCAACATGTTCGTGTACCTGTTAAAACAGATTATACGATTCATGATCCAACAGGACAAACAGTTTTATCTGAAGTACTTGAAAAGAAAATATAATGTGTTGACAATTTTTCTTGTTTTCAGCTAATTCCTATTTCACAAGCAATACAGAACATTCCGGGTCGAATAAGTGTTACAAAAAAAAGCAAATTATTTTCAAAGCTAGTTTGCCAGCTCTTGGTTTTAGCACGTACTATTTCGAAAAGAAGCGTGAGACATTTTATTTTCAATATTCTTTCAACTTCCTTAGAAAGAAAATTTTGTTTTTGTAGTTGATGAAAAGAAACAAAAACAGTCTAAAATAAACATTACATATAACGAAGCATGTGTTTTACAAAATCAAATAAGATAAGAAATCAAATACAGGATGGCGCAAAAGTCACTTTAACGAAAAAAAATTGAATATCTCCATTACAACTCGAGTAGACAAGCTGATTTTTTTTATCAATGATAGAGGCATATTCAAGCTTTATATTCACAATGACATGCCTAGAGAGATCCTTTGCTAAGAATTACTATTGATCTCAACAAAAACAAATTTAAGTCTGAGCGAAGTTTCTGATCATATTTGTGTAACATAAGTTCAATTCTGTTTTGTACTTTCTCGATCATCCTTGTCCACATATGTTCGTCATTTTTTATCATATATTCAGTGTGTAATTCTAGCTGAAGGCTCATGTGTTTGCAGATCCAGAGATAGGATAGAGAAAGAAGAACAGATGTGAACATGCGTAATCGAGAAAGCACAAAACAGAGTTGAACTTATGTCACATAAATATGACCAGAAGCATCGCTCAGACTACCCATATGAACTATCGTAGAGGGAAATGCGAAAAAAATGTATAAATGAAGGATACACGATAGTCAAGTGTTCATTTGATTATTTATATTTCATCTCTTGATAAACTGATTGTTCAGAGTAGATTGTTTTTTTCCCTATCTGTGACGAAGTAAATTTGTNAGCGGAAAAGAGAAAATCTGGCCTACCGACAAAATATCGATGTACACACAACAGGCTGATGCTTGAAATGAAACCTTGTTTCATAGTGAACTCTGTTGCGGGCTATCCTTGTACTTTCACGCATACTGGTATAATGTTTCACTGTTGATAACAATAGTCTCACTGATGGGATTCTGAAAACTGTGTTTTAAATAAATTCGTGTGTAATCAGTGGGACAAGTCTTGGTGTCAGTTGTTTTTTTATATGAATATCATAATAGAGCAGGAAAGTGAAAAATATAGACCGATATAGAGCGGTTTCGACCGGTTTAGATCGGTCAGACCGGTATATACCGATAGACCGGTCGATCCAAAATCCAGATCGGTACCGGTTCCATCTCTGGCCCTCGGATTCTCACTTTCCGATGGGTCGAGGGGTCGGTGATGGATCAGTAAAATATGGATTATTTGATGAGTCGAATAATTTTATCCGATGGGATCAAAATGAAAAAGGACTTTTTCATATTGATGTCTCATTTTCGAGTCGTCGAAACCTATGGAATAAATGTCGATGAGAAGATTAGAACATGGGTACATACGTTAAATAGTCGTTGGACATCTAAACTAAATATGAATTATGCTTACTCCATGAAATTTATCTTTTCAATTATTAGACGGATAGTAATTCGAACTTGTTTGCACATTTGCTAGAAATTTTGAAAATTACAAAAAAAAATTTCATCGAAGGAGAATGCATTTGAGATGTGTCTAAATAATGAATCGGCTGTTCTTCAAGTTTCCGATATCCCATGAGTAGCTTATTTAAGAAAAAATTGACTTCCATGATAAAGTATAAAATCAATATTTATTAATTTCGTCAAAAATTCATAACGCAATATTCGTTATAATTTTGTTTTGGTCAACATCATTTTACATAGCGGTCTTGCTTGTCATTTTTGCTCGTTTAATATTAAACGCTTTTTAGAAAATTACGAAATTAAGGAAAACATGTGTCCAACATTCATCACTCCTCTAAGTTAGCTGAATGGAGCAGGTATTTGTAAATATCTTTTTGAATAAGTTTCACAAAAGGAAAATTAAGGTTCACCACTTGCAAGTGCTATTATTCTAGACTTCTTTCTGCTGAAGCGCTCCATACGGTTCTTCCGATAGGTTTCTTCTTCTCGGGTACTAGAAACTCCGATGAGTGTCGAGCGGTCTAAAAGTTCTTGATGAGTCAAAAATAGATATTCGATAGGATAATTTTCGAATGCTCAGAATCCGATGACTATTGATGGGCTCGAAATAGAAACAGAATGAAAAAAAAATAGATATATTATATTTTAGAGCACTCATCGCACACATCGCATGCTTTTTAATGTCTGCTTGGAATGGTTTATATTGAATTTTTTTTAAGAGAGATTCTATACGTAGCTTTTTCGTTCATTATAAATTAAAAATCTTGGAAAAAGAATATAAATAAAAGTTCTAAACGACAACTATAGAACTACATATGATGGTGATAATATAAATCATTGTTACATTATAGAAAGCCAGGTTTTTTTCGGTATATATCGTCGATATATTGAATTATATAAAACTAGATATGTATGAACAAATTATAATGGAAAAAATATTTTAGCTAAAATATATCTAAAACAAATAATCTATTATTGAAAGGTACTTTTTAACAAGAATGAATGTGAAAGAGCTTAAGTTCGATCGTTTCGTAAAACTGTCCAATCTTATTTATGTCACAGTAGTGGCATCCATATCGAAATGAAATCTTTCTTTTGATTTCAAATCTTCATAATTATGCTAAATAACTGTGCAGAAATTATATCTGATTCTCAGTTTCATAAAGTCTGAAAAGTTTCTTGAATTAAATCAAAATTCATAATCAATTATCGAAATCGGCTATAAACGCGGTTTCGTCGCTCCGATTTATCACTGTTTTTTGAGCGACATACGATTAATTGCGATTTAACGCCGAATTTTCGATAAGTCACCAAAATCGCGGCGATTTTCATGACATGGACACCTAGTCGAAATATTTCGTAGAAATGTGATGAAAAAATGTTAACCCCATCTATGATCGAAAGCTATTAACAACTTGATAGAATATTTGAAGATAATATATCTTGGTTTCGACGTCATTTTACAATAGAAAAATAATATTCCAGAGATCAGATAGATCGTCAAGTCATTGCGGATTGTAGCTTCTAATTAAATGTTAAACCAATTCTTTTTCCAGTGAAAAAAAGAATCAATATTGAAACAAGTTGAAAATCGATATGTTTAGTGTTTCTGAATACACATTACAGAAAAAATAACCAAGAAATCTTTTATACACTATTGATACAAAAATGATTAAGATTTCATTCTTTAATATTTGGTTTTGTGTCAATGCATATTCAGCTTAGTGAATGTAAAAGAAAAGAAACTATTTTCTAAATATCGTCAGACATTATGAGGTTTTGAAATCCTAGAAAAAACATACTTCGAAAAGGAAAAGACACCAAACTTACGAGAGAATATTCCCAGGTGTTTGAGCGCTTTTGATTCAACACTGATGCATCTTATAGACTTCAGTAAATTGTGTGTACCCTAAAAAGAGTTTGTGCCCGTGGTCTGTTTCTGAAGAGATCGAGTGTTTTTAGTTTAGTCTTATATATGGATATTTACACGTTATGACGATCACATTGTATGAAAACGATCTTCAATTCTGACGAAATTTTCAGTGTTATAGAGCTTTCAATTTTAAAAACTTTGACAAAAAACTGTTTTCAAAACACTATTGTTTTGACGAAGATACACTCGAAATACTCTATGCATAAAAGGCCAAAATTCCCCAGAAAACCAATTTCCGGGCAGTTTTTCAGCTTTTCTGCATAGAGTAATTCGAGTGTATCTCCTGGTGTGTGTGTGTGTGGATGTGAGGTGTCGGTGTGAGTCCGGATGTGGCTTTTGACATTCCCTTCACTCACACCCACACCATCGGGACTGACCAATTTCATATGGGATGTGGTAAGAACATAAGATGATGTCCTGCGCTACATACTCATATAAAGCTTGTGAACAGTTTCCATTGTTACTCAGTGTCACATAATGGCTTTGAAGTAAAATGGACTCTGGAACAATTTGCTATGGAGCTCCTCGAACAACAACCAACCTGAACTTTGTAAAAAGTCCAGGTATAGTCAATTATCTTGAATCAGCTTTGCTTATTCGAGTGAACAACAGCAACAAAAAAACGTGTCCCTAGATCAGAGGAACACGCTACTCGAAGATGAAAAGTCACCTATGAATAGACATATCAAGTAGGAGCGTGTTTATCTCTATTCCAAGAGTATTTGAGCAGAACCGTCACGAACACGCTTTTAAAGTTCCTCTCAAACGTATTCTGTAGGTTCTTTTAGCATTTTTCAGAAATGTTTTGTGAAGACTCTTTTAGTGTTCTTCTCAATTGCGCTTCACTGTTCAAGAATCATTGTTCGTAAACAATATTCTGCCACATTAGAATGAGGTGTTTGATACCACAATTGCCTTCCAAAAGAGTGCTAAAAACGTCTTCAGAACGTATTTTTGGATTCAAACAATGAATTCTTATCCTTTTTTTTGTTGTCATCATTTTTTTCTATGGGTTTCAAGGTATAATTTACTAGTTAATTGTGATATACGTAAACTTATATAAGTACTTTTGCAGTTTTTCAATCGAAACATTTGACATATCACTGAAATTATTTATTACAAGAAAATTCAATGACTGAATCACAATATGTTTTCTTGCTCGGTTTAAATGACAACAGCAACAAAACATAACATGTTGAATCACAATTTACAACATCAAAATAGTTGGTTTCGTAAGTGATAGTTGATTAGTGTTGGTTTATTTTTGTACTAATGTCATCGTATTATTAAACCTTGTTGTTAGATGAAAACCGTTTGTCATTAATATTGAATTGACGCGAATGCCACCATTGATATGTAAGATTCTGTATAGAAGTTGAAGGAATACTTCTCTATAAACGCGAGCCGATAGAATGAAGAGAAAAATGGGTGTAGAATAAGAAAAAGCAAAGGCAAAACCAGCGATGATAGTGCCAAAGATAAAGCTGGACGAAGGTTGATATCCTGTCGGTAACTCTATAATAAGATACATGACACATATGGGCATGTTGAGAACAAAATAAGTAGCCACTTGAAGAAAAAGCATGCGAACAAGTTGACTTTCCGTGCGACGATAGGACGCTTTGACTTTAGGAAGAAATCGCATTTTTTTCGTATTAAAGATCGTTAACATGCCGAACAATGCCATGAGACATGGTGCAACAACATTGAAAAGGATGGTTTGCAGAATGACATATATTTGATGGTAGACAGCTTTTGTTCGAATACCACATCCAAGATAATCATCAAAGCGTAACTCACACAACACAAGAGTGTTGATATGAAATAAAGACCAAAACAGAATGACAAGCAAAATTGCCCATCGAGCTACAATTGGATTACTCCAATTGCGTAATTGAACATTTGTTGAACTCGCACAAAATCTATCGAATGATGCGAGAACAATAAAGTAGGGTGACATTAGTGCCAATACAGTCGAAATATAAGTGAGAAATTTACACCAAAAAAGTGAACTATTTGCTGGATATATTTGATAAGCAGTGGTCAGTAAAGAATAAATAAGAAAAATGCAATAGAGGAGATTATTGCAACCTAGTGCCAGAAAATAACGGGAACATGAATGATGTCGTAGAGCGGGCCGAGTAAGTATAATAATATTGAGAGCATTGCCTACAACGCCGACAATAATGATAATAGGCAAAATGATTTTTGCTAGTGTTATGGCGAGTGTTTCCAGAGAATCAGTCATAATGTCTCTACTCCAGGTTAAGTTGAATTATAAAAAAGTGTAAACAAGTAAATAATGTTTTGAATTTTAAGAACAACTCGTAGAATTGAAGATCTCAAAGTAAATGACAAGATTTATTGCCAGTAATCTAATCTGACTAATTTTCATTCTATTTTTGTATTCATATAAAAAAAGAATAAAAAAAAATTAACCTTGACATTTTTACTAATAATGATAATGTGCTGCCATAAAAAGATTCAGTAATAACATGTTTACCCTTTGGGCTTTAGAGTTCCTGGACAAATTTATTAATCTACAATTTTTATCCACTATACAAATCTGTCATCTCGATTTAACTGACGCAGTTCTCATGCTCAATTTCATTTCATATTCATTTCATTCAATATAGTTTGTGTACAGAATGCAAATATGATCAGTTTGATTGATGATCATTCGTTCATTAGAATCGAAATGCTAGTTTCTACTAACTATCTAAAAATCGGTTATCAATATATGAGCCAGTCTATGTAAACGATGGCTAATTCTATTCAATTTAATATGATTTATTGGCAAAACGTCTTTTTTAAACTTTTGACAGAAATTATTTTCTTGAAGATATGACAGCAATAATTTTTAATGAATTGTTTTTGATTAAAAGTCTTAAAATTGGAATCACTGAGAAACCTGCACATTGATGACTCAATATTTCGAGAATGGCTCGATTGATTACACTAAAAGTTTTCTTGAATATACATACGAATAAATTCACACGGTTAAATCTTTGGTTTTCACATGAATTGAACTTATACATGCAAAAAATCATTATTTTTGCTCAATTTGGTGGTTTATATCTCAGAAGCAAAATGAGATAAGCGTCTGAGATTTTTGCTGTACACAAAATTGAACGGACTTAAATGTTGACTGAAATTTTCAGCTCCATAGTGTTATATATTTGCTCAAAGGGGATATCTTGATAATACGTTGATCCTAAAGAAAATATCGTTGTTCTGTTGATGTTCTCTTCCAACGAGATCTACTTAAATAAGATAACATTTCAGTGTATGATTCATATTCTCGCGAAAGAATCCAGCATCTTTAGGAACTCATAACTGAATGTCGCTACTCGTATCTTGTTATGGATGTGTTTCATGTTCACACTCACACTCAGAAACGATCATTACACAGCTTTAAAATGAAAACTTCAAAAATCAATTTACAATAGGCAAAAAAAATTGCTAATAAGAGTCGATATAGATTTATTCACCGAATTATGCATTTTTTTTCATGAGATTGATTGAAATGGTTATCGGACGAATACTATTTGCTGTTATAATTTGTTGAATTTCGTCACTATACTTGATTGGAAGGATTTACTTGACAAATCGAATATGTTTCTCTCGATAGAATATACCAAATAGCCATTGTAGCATATTACAAATACAAAGGAAATTTAATGATAATCAAAGAAAAAAGCAAAGTAAACTGTGGCGTATAGCCTGTCGGCACTACCGGCATTAAATAAATGACGCATGTGAGTATAGTGAGTATAATCCCATGTGCTTCGAACCGGCAAAAATCTCACAGTTAACCGACTGTAAACACGGTCAGTCGACGGTAAACCATAGTCAACCCACGTTTCTTTACCACTACCCCTCACGCCTCTCTCGCACTTCTCAAGTACAATGCATACAATTTATCTTATAAACATATGCATAATTTTATTCTTTATACATTAATTTTTAAAGTTCGATAAGCTGTTCGCCCGAACCTAAATAAAAAAAATAATAGTTTGTTTTCAAATTGATACTTACATTTCAATAAACTGAGTAATACTTTTATAAAAATTTTTATTTATTTAATAGGGTTAGATGTCAAAGGAAAAATACCGCATGTTTCTGTATCTCCCTCATAATATTCTCCTCAATTTGTAGCTCGGTTTTTTTTGCCATATTACATTTACGTGATCTGTTAAATTAGTGCATTGTAAAACTATATATGTTTTCTTTCCGTATATTACTTTGTTTCTAATTGCTGAACCTATAATGTCATCTCACAATGTAGTTAAACCGAAAAGGGTGTGGCTGTGGGAGTTGGAGTGGGTGGATGTGGGAGCGTGATTGATTACACAACCGTACCCATATCCACACCCTTGATCTAACAACAAATTAAATAATTTTTTTAATATCATTTTTTTATAAATTAAACAAAATCTTTTTTAATTATCTCAAATAATTATCAGTCAAGGGGTGGATCTGATAGTAAGTCTTATCTTTTCCTACACCTACACCACAGTCAGCTGATAAAATTATGGTGCGGAGTGGCCACCGTTAAAAGTTCTTCTCGGTAGCGCTGCTGTGTTCAGTCTGCGGTCTTTGTGCACACTGTACGTCTCTGGTTAGTTTATGTTCATGTAAATCGTTCTCAAGTTCTCTTGAATTGATTTTAGTAATTGTTGCATTTTGTTTGAATTTTTTCTCGAGAATTTTTTTCTAATATTTAATTTTTTTTTTTTAGAGATTATAAAAATTCTTTTTCATAGTGACTAATTTATATTAGTGTTTGTTTTAGTTTATCACATATCGTAGTCAATAATCTTGAAATTGATTGTTACTTTTTCATGCAACTTAATTATATAAAGTATCAAATAATTGTTCTTAACATTTAATAATAATAATGAGAGAAAAAAGATCAGCTTCTATTACTTTATTTCTTCATAGCTTGATGTTAATATATGACTTTTAATATTTAATATTAAATTTAAGTGTTTCTATATAAACACTACATTGGCATAAAATTAACTTTAAATAATTCAGTTGAACGAATATCAATGAATTTTAAGATTTTCTCTACTTCAATTATCATTCGAGACGATTTAATCCTAACTATTCAAAAGAGATCTTTTACTAACTGTTGTATCAATCCGAACAACATAAGGTTCTCTTTTGAAAATAATGAAGAAAAGATAGTTTTTATTGAGACTGATCAAGTTGTTGATAGAGATTTTCTCTCAAATAGATCAGACAATATCATGCTGAATTCCTATCAGATTAAAGATAAATTCGAAATTTAGTGATATTGACTCAATTAAATCATTTAAATTTAATTTAAAGTACGTATCAAGTCATACGTTAATAATGAATATTAAGAAATAAAATGATGAATGATACACTTTTTTCTTCAATCTTACCACTTAAAGAATGAATCGTAATATAATTTTTAAGTTAAGGGAAATGTTTCACCTTGCTTCCCTTCCTCAAAAAATAAAATAACAATGATTTACTTCAATGAGTTCAGATATTCTCTACACATAAATTTCTTACTCATAATATGATGAAATATTTGTTTCGTTACTTCATATGAAAGATATGTCGTGACAAGTGATGAGTTCGACAAATTAAAGACGACACAAAATCAAATGACACTAATATTTTTTTTTCTTTTAACCCTCGGCTACTGTTGTGGAGTCCGCTTGGACCCACTTTACAGGTTTTCGTTTCGCACTACACAACTATTTACTGTTCCGAGTCATTTGTTTTTTGTAAACTCTAGGCTTTGGTAGATGTACAATATCCTGATAAAAAATCATGAATAGATCTAAGAGAGAAAAAATACGGATATGGGCCCACGTAAACCCCAGGACACCAATGATAGTTTAGATATGATTTTTCGCTTTTTTTATAACTGCCATCTATTGCGTATCGATTTATTTTCAAATTAAATACGTTGTGATTTGTTTGCACGTTTATCTCTCATAAAAGTGACTCGTATTTTCTTTGTAGATTGTTAAATTTTCACTATTTTTTGATAAAAACCAAAACTCTGCGTTAATTTATTTCCAGTGATATCGATTAAATCAGGTAAGCTTCTCAAAATACTCTAAAGACGCGATAAATCTACAAATGTACATTTGTACACTTCTCTCTTTTTATAGCATGAATAATACGTACAGATCAAACCTAAAACGAATTAGAGATCTCTTACTATCCGATACAATTGAAGATGATTACGTTACTGGTGAAGATTCTGATTCAGATAATGATTCTGATTTTGTGCCTATTCAATCAGATGATACATCGACAAATGAACATATATCAGAAGAATCTGATATATCAAATTCGGATGGTGATGATCACTGTGATGTTTACACAGATGATCAACCAGAAACATTAGAAAAAGCAGGTATTATATGGTCAATTCATGCTAATCCGGCACAAGGCCGAATACCGGTTGCTAATATTATTAAAACAAAACCAGGTCCAATTACCAAGGTTCAAACGATTTTGGATGCATTTAAACTTTTCTTGACAAATGAAATCCTGGACGAAAAGTTCGACAAATCTGTGATAATTATGGACAAAATGTTTGTCTTTCGCATTCCAGCAACATCACAGTAGTAACTTGTCGAACATGTGAAAAGAAGAACTAAAAATTTCCAGAAAACTATCAAATAAGGACAACTTGATCCACATAGTAGAGACATTTCTGTTTTAAACTTTGTTGATCATATACAAAAGAAGAAGATAAAAATAAACATCAGAACAACTAATATCTCGTTTTCTTATTCATAGACAACTGTATGTGCTAACATAGGGTATTCGTACCGCAGACTGAATGTACTGGATGTATGATTTTTTTACTTGCACTTCCATTCTATTATGAAACCAGTATAAGTGAATCCTTTTCTTCGCATCGTGCGTTCTTATATTGCCTCTATAAGAAGCGATAAATAAGTCTCTAGGGAGAAGAGCAGTTGGAAATTTATAGTATATAAATAAATACCTTACATAAAGCAAAACCATCATTTTTTTGTAATTTTATGGGATGGGTCCACGTGGACCCCAGGACACTGTTGAAGTTATAAAATGAGGATGGTAACCGAGGGTTAAGAGAAAAGAAAAAAACTTAGCCATCTTCAAAATAACAACTGCTAAAACGTTTGTCCCTCAGAAGTGACAATTCTTCTATGATTGATTCACTGGAAAATTGCAATTATTATTTGAAGGTGTCACTTGAATAAAACTAATTATAATGACGATAGAATATAATAGTGATAAGAAAATTCTTCAAAAATTTGTTTTTTTGAAGAATATCATGTAACTTATATTGAAAAATGAGAAAAATCTAATATCTATAGAATTTTGTTCATCAATCTTTGATTAAAAAAGGCAGACTGCCGAAAAAATTTTCATATGAAAATTGAGAAATCATATAGAACACAAAGCGCGTTACATCAACAAAAAAAAGAAAAAGACATTAAATAAATGATAAATATTATTCCATAGAATTTAACAAAATAGATTGATTTAAAAAATGTTCCAAATATAAATTAAAAAATTGAATCATTCAAAATAATTTAGAAAAAAAAGAACATTATATTAAAATAAAAAACATAAACAACTCTCAGACAAATCAAAAGTGATCTGTTCAGATCATCAGATTATTAAGAATTTGATACAAATGATGTTACTACATCATATTTGTTATATTACAAAATAATTATCTGAAATCAATTAAGTTTTCATGAATTTATCTTGAAGAAAAAAAATATAGTAAACTAACTATTATTATATATAATGGTCTCCTCAGAATTCAACTTATACAGAAACTTACTCTTTTTTTTTTCTTATAAAATACTGACAATAGTCAAAGTTGTTTTGAAATCATTAAGATTGGAAAAAGAGTGCGAAGAATATTTTTATATGAAATAAATGAAAACATGCTTGTAAAATATTGTGAAATTTTTCTTGAGATGAATCTTCTAATGATTTGAAACTGATTGAATTTTGATTGAAAATCCGATTTAAGATAAACATTTGTCGGATAACATTTTCATTTCGAAAAATTTCATTTTTTTTCTTGAATATTTATTTTTAAAGATATAAAATTAATAAATTATTCTCAAATAGAATAACTATTCGAACTATATCGATATTGTCATTAAATATTCAATAAGAAATTGCAAATAGAAATTTTATTTTTATTTTTATTAAAACAAATGAATCGTTAACTATTTGATTAATCTAAATAATTTGTTAATTTATTTCATAACTCATCGATATTTCCAATATAAAAAATCGCTCACATGGAAAATAAAATTTCTTCTTCATCTGGATTAACGCTTTCAATTTTTGCATATGGTGTTGATCGAATATTTGTAATAATTATCATTTCATTTAGAACTGATACTTTATTTGGATCTTATGTTTTACCATTACCTGAAAATACGATAGCAACTTGTCTATCTTGTGAAATTGATAAAAAACTATTTATTGAAATAAATCGACCAAAATGGTTCAATAAAAGATTATTATCAATTTAGCAAATTGTTTATATATAAATCATGAATATAATATCTTATTTTAACAATATAAGCAATAGTTTCAATTTGAAGGGATTGATTTAATAGACGATATAAATAAACAATCTTTTGGAAACCATTTTACAGCATCTTTTGATTCATATTTCTTTTCAAAATCATTGATTTTCTTTGTTTCTATGGTGTTATTTTGATATTTTGATCGATAAAATTGTAAAAGTTCATCTTTACCATATATTGTTTGATCTAATCGAAATATCATATCTGATAGTAATTGAAAAGCAATAAATTGTTTATTTTCTTTCGATAAATGTTGCATAAAGATTCGATCTGCATGTGGACAGAAAATACTTCTTTCATCAGAATCTGTATTCCATACATTATCGACGCTTCTTCAATGAATGCGCCAAATATTATCTTTATGTACTTCTACAGATTTAACTGAAAGTGTTGAATACATTGAAAATAACACTTTCATTTCATCTTTAAAATTACTGAATGATGAAATATGAGCAAAAGGAATTGCCTTTCGGTAATATTGTCTAAGGAATCATTCATAAAGGGTATCCAGGAAGACGAGGAAGGGGAAAGATAAGCAAAAACTGTGCCTTTCCAGGAAGTGGAAAGAAAAAAGAGGCTGATGCATCGGAACACAAAAGTAACTACCAAAATTTTGTCTCGTTTTTTAAGCATTGTTCACGAAATTTTCCAGTTAAATTGGATTTTATCAGTAGTTTCAAAAAAGTAACTTCCCATAACACTATAAGGCACATCTGAAAATAAATCATCTACATGAAATCTATTCTAGCCGTTTGATATAAGAAAGACAAGATATTTGAGCAAATACAAAATGTCCGAAAAGTCCACCATGAAAAAAACGATGTACCTTGAAGTTTTATTCTATTTATTTTCTAATGAATTTCTGTGCTTCAAGACAATTGAATTCAAATAACTTTATTAAGGGTCGAATTTGACATAGAAATGGCAAATGTGGACTGTGTTTGAGATACTTTTTGTTTACCAATGAAGGCACTTTTCATTTAAATAGCTGCTCGATAAATATATAGTGAACGCAAGTCTTGAAAAGACTTGTATTAAGATCTGCTCAAGTTCAAACTGAAAATAAATAACAAATTAGTTGAAAAATAAACTTTTTCCTATATTTTTTCAAATAAAATGAGAAATCTTTGAAAGGTCTGGAAGAAGTATTCAGAGAAAAAGGATGAGTCGAAGCTTTTAGACAAAATGCTTGTTTATTCTTGGCCTGCATGAAACTATTGGACAAATCAAAAACTGTAGCCGATAACTAGAATTCTGTGATCTTTTCTAATCAGAAATTAGAAATTCTAATTCTTGTGGTTATTTGAGAGTAACGAACAAATCTACGAAGGATCCGAAAATTGGTTTAGGCAATATATAAACAGACTGTTTTCTAACACTCAAAGTCTTTTTGTGGAGCTGCTTCAAATTGTCAGCCTAGGCAATTTTGTGGAGTGAACAGATTTTTTCGAAATGTGATATTTAAATATTCTGTAGCTTTCATCCTATATCTACGTAAAACTGGTTTTGATGAAGAAGTCAATTTTTCAAAAGTCAATATGCAGAAAAAAACGAAAATTGAGGTCTCTTATAGAAAAACAAATACAGTAGATTTTGTAGGATAGAATTAACTCTACAAGTTGACATATTAACAAAGGTTCCAACTTCAAGCTTTAGCAATCAATAGTGAAAACATTACAATGCACGAAAAACAAATTTTCCAAATTACTTCTTAGTCTTTTGAAAGATTTTCTCAATACTCTCGAATAGAACAAGGCACAACATTTCTTAGTTCGTATTCGGAGAGAATACGAAATTCTGATCCTAACCTATTGTTTTTGACTCATCTGAAAAACGTTTAAGTGAATCAAAAATGAACAGAGATTTCCACTAGAAGCCTTCAGGCCACCACCTATTGAAAAGATATCCACCGATTTTTTTTCATGACGGACTTATGGGAACACACTGTATACTCTTTCTGAATAAAAATTTGGAAATTAGACGTATGGGGAAAAGTGAGAAAACTGCAAAACAAGCAACTTTTAGCTGTACTTCTTTTATGGTTGAGTCATAAGTCGATTTTCACTGTTAATAATACACTAATGAGTGGAGATGAACTTATTGAACTTTCTGAAAAAAGTAGCACAACGTCTTTATCCATAAAAGTTGAGACAAAATTCTTGAAACACATTGATTTGCCGAGAGCGGAGTTCAACTTTAAATGTCATCTCCTGACCACAGTATACTGTAAGACGATTTTCTATCGAATTAGAATGATCTAGTTGAGCAGTTTTTCTATCCAGAAAGGAGGTTCGAAGTGTTTGATTTAACAAAATGATAAAGAAAACACACGTGAATATACCAATAAATAGCTCCTCTATCTGATATATAATCTCTATTAAATTCTCCAATATATCTCAATTGACTTTCATCGTAAAGGAGAGATTCTCGACAAAAATTCATCAACTCATCTTTTGCTATATTCGTATGTCGAATATGTTGTAAAACTTTGTCAGAAAATTGCCAATAAAGAAATCAGCATTTTCTGAAGTTACATTTTGAAATGTACTTTGTTCTGAATAATATATCCTTGAAATTGTTTGAACATACTATCAACGTCACTGAAAGTGCCTTCTATTTTCGAGTTTCGATTTGAATCATTTTCATGTTGATCATATTTATAAAATATATAAAATAATGTTATTTGTGGACCCTGATAAATCAATCGAATGATTGCATTACTTAGAATTTTCGAAATAAGTAAATATACAGATGTCTTTAATAATGTTATATAATTAAAGCATAAATCAAATTCCTGTTGGATAAATATTTTTACTTGATTTCATGGATCATGTGTGATACGATCATTCAAATTAATATAAAAAATAACGACTTTCATTTTTATGATTTGCTCTTCACTTCTTTGTGAAGATAAATCACAAAAACATGTATATAATCTTCGAATTATCTTCATCTCTCTCTTTTTCTTTGTTTGTTATCGAATAAGAAACCATAAAAAGAAAAGAAAAGAAAAAAAATTTGAAAATATTTAATTATTTTTGATAGAACTAACGACGATACGTCTTGAAATGTCAACTTTCGATTCCAATGATTTTTTACTTAGATACACTAAATAGTATTATAGTGACCTGTGGCATGTGTGTATGGATGCGAGCGAACAGAAGACCCACATAGACATCCTACACCATCATTCAGGCAAACTCACTTTCTCACTTATTTCTGTATTTCTAAGCAAAATTTTCCCATTTTCTAATTTTTTATGTGTTCTAAAAAACGAAAAACAACAGTGATAAATTAAGAGATATGCACCATTAAATATCACGTAATATCACATTAAAACCTTAAATATAAACAAACCAATTTTTTTCTTTTATTGTTTCGTACCTGATTTAATCTCAAGACATTTTATTTTCATATTGGCGTTCTTTTATTTATTTATTTTGCTTTTCTGGAATCACTTATATTACTATTACTATTCTAAACATTGATTTTATTGACAAAAAAGCCTGGTCTACACCCATAATGTTTACAATAGGTTTTCATTTGCGATTATGTATCTCGATAATCTCAGAAACACTGCTATTGATTACTCCTCGAAGTACAACTTGATCAGTGTATGTGTGTTGTATAGGTGATATGAGGACTGTGGCAAATGAAAAAAATCACTAGCCATCGTTGCTGATATCTATCGCGTAACGTTTATCCGAGAAAAAATCAGAAACTAGACTACTTGAAACATTCGAAAACAGATTCTAGTCGTTTAAACTTCAAGCAAGGCTCGTATTGTTAAGGCCATTCAGCGTCTTTTTTCCGTCGGTAATGAATTATAGAAATGAATTCTGATACATATTATCCTTGGTTACTGTGGAAATATAGCCACTGATCTTTGATCTGATTGTTAAGGTCTATAAAGAGATAGGGCAAAGAAGCCACAAAAGTTTCTACTTTTAGGGTATGTGTGAGATGTTGGTGATGCGCTTATTCTCATACCCCACATTCACACCCTCAGTATAAGTCTGCTTGATATTGGTAACCTACATTAAATTTGTACTGCCACTTGACCAGTGTTCCAGCAAACAGATGCTTCGTTCGTACGCAGAATTTTTCTTTGCTTGTAGAAAAAATGAAATTCTCATTTTTCGAATACATTAACACTACTACTTCTCTTTCATTGAACTTAATCAATTAGTTTTTTCATATGAGTATTATCATCAAGTTTTTATTCATACGGACAAATTTCACAAACATTATTCAAAGCTATCATCTTTCTCTGAAATACAAAAATTGGCTATACTTCAAGTTTTAAAAAATACATTTATGAAAATACTGTGGCGGAGTTGGTGCGCTCGACTGCACGTTTTGGCTAAGAGTTAATCTCGATGAGAGAAAGAAAACTTGAAAGTAATATATGCTTGCGGCCTATTAGTCACAAGCAGGACTGACACAACCTAGTGAGTGTGGGAAATGCCCTCCCCCCGAATGTTGAGAAATTTTTAATTTTTTCGCAGCAGAATTCTGAGAAATTTGTTCTATTGCGTCTAGGCATGCACCAAAACCAAAATTCTTGGTTTTGATACGGTTTTGGTATCGATAGTATTGATTTTGATCAACTTTTTTTTTGGTTTTGGTTTTGATTTTGAGATATTATTGAAAAATAATTATTTTGGTGCAATAAATCTATGATGTCTCCCCATGAACTGTTCTAAATTTACTAACTTGAAATAGACTTCTAATATAATATTAAGGTGCGAATAATGCAAAATTAAAGCAAATTTTTTTTTCGTTGTTTTTATACATGGTTAGATAGAGCTTGTCGAGCTGAGTAAAAATATATATACAAATTTTTTTTCAAAGGCTTTTGATAAAAAAAATTCGAGTTTTTCTCGATAGTCTTGCATGACTCATTTTTTTCCTAAAAGGTCAGTGCATTTTAAAGTTTTCTCAATAAAAAAAAAAATTTCATTTCGTTGACATTGTAAAACTAATATATTCAGATTCCTCATGAGAAACTGCGTCTATGACACTTATTTCGAAATAAGTGTCATAGACGCAGTTTCTCATGAGGAATCTGAATATATTAGTTTTACAATG